AGGACCTGGAACAATCAAGCCTGTGATTTCTAGTCTATGTACATACACGAAAACTCTCATTTTATTCCATGCTATGAATAGTTTGAACTTGTCTTCTGTCAAGAGGTCTGCAGAAAAACTTTGTCTGCCAAACCTCTTGTTAAATGAGCCCCTGCATAGGCAGTTATTCACCTCCAGGTCCAATTCTTCATGGGTCAGGCGATCCAGTAGCTCCACATGGGACCTTAATAAAACATTCCAGGAAAGCTCCAGGGACGCATAGGCGCTTAAGTCTGTTAACAGCACCGGAACTAGAAATAAATTAACACAAAATCTAAAATTGCCATAAGAATTGCTCCTGTCTTGTGTCACGTCTCATAAATCTCAAATTTCCTTTGAAATTTGACTTATTATTTCAGAATAGCTGCAAGATCAACAAACCACTACAAAGTAGTTATAAACCTACAAAACTTGCTTCCTTAGCACTAAGACCAGAGGACATCTTTAACTGTCTGCACGGCACTGACACTTTAAAAAGCCTTTATTTACTTCAGAGGAAAGGAACAGAACAGAGAAGATGGTTCAGTAGCTGCAGTTGTACTTGTAGTGAGTGTTTCTCCAGCACAACTGCTGCCTTCTGCTGAACTTGAAACAAATTAACCCATTTCAGCCAAAGCATTCTTCCTGTCACAGGAAGGGTTAGGTAGTTTCTGCATCCTCATTTAGCTGGGTGTTTATTGTAAGACCTAGATAATGATGAAAATTTCTTCCGAAAAAGTACAGATTGCGCTTCCCAGCATTTTAGAAAAGGCTATGCTGAAAAATTTAAACTATTGCTTGTTATATTAGTAAATTTTTAAATTAAATTGAGCCAGAGGAACTATAAAAGATTTTTACTCCATAGAGAACATGAAAGTTGTTTCAAAATCAGTTATGAAACTATTGGTATATGCCGATGAAACTATAGGTATCTACTGTATGCTCACCAGTTCAAAAGACAATGACAGAATTTGGTTCTGCAGGAAAACAAAAATTAAATTCAGTGTGTCCAGATGGCTATGATTTCATTAAAAGTCTGATGCTATCAGATATTTTGTTAAAAGCTCAAATCCTATGGAAAAGTAATTATGTGATGATCTGAACTTTTATTTAAAAACAATGCAATTGTCCAGTGCCTCCATCTGACAGCACAGAAATGTTTGAAAATGTTTCCCAAGCATGTTCTAGAGACTCCAAACCCACAGGCAGATAAAAGAGCCCACAGATAATAGACTTTAAAATTCCAGGTCTTTGTGAACTCATCTTACAGTTTTTTTCAGGGCTGACAATTCTGCTTCCTTAAAAAAAAAAAAAATCAAATGATTTGCATTGTCAAAGAACATCAGAAAATAGAGCTTTTCATTTTTTGTCAGCTTACCATTTTTTTATCATTGCTAATAGTGCAGTTTCTTTTATTATACTAGACTACAACGTTCTCCAGCAAGTTTTGGGTCATTCCCCCCCCCAAACTTGCATGCATGAAATTCATTTCTGCGTTCTGCCAGGCTGTGCCTACACTGGTCAGTGTTCTCACCGGCCCCGCAACCGACGAGCGGCCCAAAGGGATCAATCCGTCCTCACGGCACAGCACTGGGCAGGGCAGAGAAAAGGGAACTGAAACGCGTTTGAACAAAAGCGGTCCAGGACACCAACAGACAAGGGACTATTTTTGTTCAGAAATTTAGTTCCTGAGATGTCCAGATGAGGCCACTGTGGTTTTACTATCCCTATTTCAAGCAAGGAGTTTTATTTGGTTACCTCAGTGTTTCCCTTCTCCACAACTGCAAGAGTGCTCCATAGCCTGTTTTTCTGTTGGAGAACAAAGAAAAGGAAACAGTTATTTTTTCTCATCGCGCAGCAGTTACGGTAGTCACGGAGGCAGGAAGGGAACCGGACAATGGAAGCTGCAGATGTGGAATTTCTTTTTTAAATCCCCTTTGCTGCTGCTGCTGCTGCCTGACGAACAGTGGAGACCCAGCAGCACAATAGCAGGAGATGCTGCAAGACTGAAGCAGAGCAAGCATTTTTGTTTGTCAGAGAGCCCAGGGAGAAGCTTTCCAACACCAGCCCGACTCAGGCTGTACGGGCTTAGTTTCAACCCAGTGGTGGGATGCAAAGCCAGGGCAGGGTACAGAGCACTTTGGCTGAGTCACGTCGTTAGGAAATGGGGATTTCTGTGGCCCTGCCAAGTCCCCAGGCAGTGGACTCCAATGCGTTTTGGAGCTGGGGACGACATTCTCATCCAAAAATATCTGGCTAGCCAGGGGGGAAACTGTGGCTACGGGGAGGCCATGCTTCCTTTGTGTTTTGTTTTCATCTGTTACTTGAAGTGACCCCCAGAAGGAAGAGCCCTGATGTGACTGTGGGGACGCGGGCACATGTGAGCCCAGCCAGGGGCAGGGCTGCTGGGCAGAGCTGCGCTAGGTTCCTCCTTCCAGCAGCGTGATTAAAAGAAGGGAGATGCCCAGCTTTGCAAACACTCTCTAAAAGGCTTTTTTCTTCCCTTCGTGTTTGCGGCTGCAGAGCGAATGCCTTGTTCAAATCCATTTAGGCTGTCTGATAATAGGTGCATTTTTAACAGCAGCTGGGCAGACAACCGAGAGTCAGGGTTCACGAGAGGGTCTGGCTTTTGCTTCTCCACCTGCATGGGCTGAAGGGCCACATTTTAGCCTTAGATCCCTCTGTCATGCAAGATCAAATCTGTCCCAAGCTTGGCCTGCCGCTGGGTTTCCTCTCCTTGCCGAGCAGCTCCTCCGCCTTCAGCAGCGGGGTTATCTCTGCCACTCTGGGCAGCGTGGTCGGGTGATGGTTAACAAGAACACTGAGTCAGAGGTTATGACTGCGATGGGGTGTGATATAATGTTTGTTTGTAAACTGACAAATACTGGTGGAAAGTGGTTGCAAGGGAGGGATCTGTGACTCGGTCAGGCTGCCAGCCTGCTCTACCCACAGCTACAACTGACCTCAGCCCTTTTCAGGTTCATCCAGGCACTCCACAGAATGCAGTATTTCAGGCTCAGGACCAGCTGGCTTCACAGAATCAATCACAGAATCACAGAATCACAGAATGGTCGGGGCTGGAAGGGACCTCTGTGGATCTTCTAGTCCACCCCCCCTACCAAAGCAGGGTCACCTACAGCAGGCTGCACAGGACCTCGTCTAGGCAGGTTTTGAATATTTCCAGAGAAGGAGACTCTGCAGCCCCTCTGGGCAGCCTGTTCCAGTGCTCTGTCACTCTCAAAGGAAAGAATTTCTTCCTCGTATTCATATGGAATTTCCTATGCTGCAGTCTGTGCCGGTTACCCCTTGTCCTATTGCTGGGCACCACTGAAAATAGCCTGGCCCCACTGTCTTGACACCGGCCCTTAAGATACTTATAAGCATTTGTAAGGTCCCCTCTCAGCCTTCTCTTCTTCAGGCTGAACAAGCCCAGCTCCCTCAGCCCTGCAGCCCTGTTAAGAGGCACATTTTAATCGCGTGCCTTGGTCAGCTCACCACCGTCTCGTGCTTCTCCCTGTGGTCCCAGCTCCTCTCCTGTTGCAGGACCCAGCTTACCAGGCATGACGGTGGGAATCCCCCCTCTGTCCTCTCTCCTCCCAAGCAGATGCAGCTCTATGAGGGACCCAAATCTGAAAAGAGACTGAGCGGTGCTTGGCAGTAAGAAGGAATGGCAGGGATTGACTCCAAAGAGTGCCCTGACTCCCAACTGCAGTTTCACGCATAGTCCTTTAGCATCTGAGCTAATGCAGGTTTTAAGGTGAGGCTTCCTGAAACAAGGTAGTGGGGAGGGTACACCCATCACCAGATCTCTCAGGCAGCGGCACACCATCTCCATCACCATGGATCCACTGGATAGTAAAAGCACTGAAGATCTTGTACTACTTTCTGCAATTTTCACCTAGTTTAAATGGTGCCTGAAGTTTTTGTGCATCCTTTTCAGGGTCCCTTTGAGTTTAAACTCACTGCATATTCCCGTAGCAGCACAATTTCCTTTCATCAGCAGAGCTAGCTTCAGCTGTTGTCGGGTATTATTATACTTCACTGCTTCCTTCCTTTCCCATCAGTCCCTCTATCCCGGCGTTAAATGTCATTTATAGTTTGAGCTATTTGACTGCTAGTCCTCCTGTATCCCAGAATAGCCCAGAAAAACAGGAAAGTTCACGGGTAAAGGGTCATCAAGTGGCTATGTTTTCTGCAGCACAAAAGAACCAGTCCCCAAAAATCTCGCTGATAGATGTGAAAGTAGCACAGGGCATTTAGGACAGAGTCATTTGGGTAGAACTCTGTGGTGTGACTGCTCACACTTGGCAACGTGCGTAGCAAGCAATCATCCAAGTGGGCGCAGATACCAGTGGAAAATGTCACTGCGGCAGTGAAGGTGGTACCCCTTCTGGAAAGAAAGAGGCCTATTCTCACCACAAAGGGGATGTGAAAACTAACACTTTTTATGAGTATTAACTTTTTCTTTTTTTTTTTTTTAACTAAATGGAAAAAGAGGACTCGCATAAAAAGTCTTTACCAGAATTTTTGCAGCACACAGTTTTCTGGTGGACTGGTAACTATTTCAGTGAAATTAGAAATATCAAATGAAAAATTATTGCGAAAATGTCCTTTAAATCTGAACTGAAATGATGGCTCCTTTGTTTGCTTGTTTTCTTCTATAGCTTGCTTGTTTGTTTTTTGAAGTCATTCTTGTTAATTGTCCTGCAGCCATGGTATGCACCAGATAGCCAAGAAAGCTGACATGGTGAAGTTATATACAGCATCCTTGTGACCTTTTTGCAGTGAAGATACTTATCTGTCCAATAAAGCCCAGGCCAAATGACAGTGACAGCTGCCCTGTGGCATTCGGTTTGAATTGAAGAGGTTTGCTCACAAGTCAGGAGCAAGTATTTCGTTACAGACTGTGCACCAAGACCAACATCAGCCCCCAAAAGTGAAACTTTCCTCAGCAGCTATGGAAACTGCTCCGTTGGACTGAGATGCTTTTCACAGGCTCCTCCTTGTCTCCTTGCTTTGACTTTCGCACCTCCTGCAAGCTGCCATCCTCTGTTGGCATTTGCATGTTGGTGTAGCACTTGCAAGGGAGGAAAACCTCACTTCATCTCCCAGGAGGGATACGGGGTGTTATGGGAACTGAGCACTCGAAGAACGAGGGGCGAAGAAGCATGATTTTTCTGAGGAAAGGTCCAAAGCTGTGTGCTTGTGATGTCAGCTTGAGCCTCATAATGAAAGGGATGACCAGCACACCGGACTTCTTGTGGGGACTGCCCGAGGTGCAGAAGCTGAACCTTTCATGCAACCAGCTGGTGGTGATTCCTCCTTCACTGGGGAAACTGGACAGACTGGTAGTGCTGAACTTGGGTGGCAACTGCCTCAAGTGTCTGCCTAAAGAGATCGGGCTGCTGAGGAACCTGAAGGTCTTGTTCATCAATATGAACCGCCTGACAGAGGTGCCAGCGGAGCTCAGCTTGTGCAGGAAGCTGGAGGTTTTGAGCCTCTCACACAACTGCGTCTCGCAATTGCCTTTGAGCTTCACCGACCTGACAAGCTTGAGGAAACTGAACCTCAGCAACAACCGCTTTGTGCAGATTCCCCTCTGCATTTTCACACTGAGGAGCTTAGACTTCTTGCACCTGGGGTCCAACAGGCTTGAAAACATCGCAGAGAGTGTCCAGTATCTGGTCAATCTGCAAATCTTTATTGCAGAGAATAACAACATACGCACCCTGCCACGGTCTCTCTGCTTTGTCACCACTCTGGAGTTACTAAATGTCGATTACAACGCCATACAGACTCTCCCGGACAACCTCTACCTGCTGCACCGGCTGCCACGCATCGCCTGGAACCCGATGGACAAAGGCCTCCACATCGCCCACAACCCCCTGTCCCGGCCCTTGCCCGAGATCGTCGAAGGGGGGCTGGACGTCCTCTTCAACTACCTCAGGGAGAAAAAGGAGCACAACTGAGCTTCCGCTGACCTTGGGATTAAGCCTGTCATCAAGACTCAGCAGTATCGGAGCGCTTTCCAGCACGGGCATTTCCACTTCATAACGCTCAGATTTTGAAGACTGAGGATGGCTTTAATAACTATTGGAAGAAAGCAAGTAAAGTATGGTGGTCTTCATTAGGTGTCTGAGGAGTAACTTTCTAAAAATGTCCACCTCTGTAACTTTCAGTGTTGGTGTGTTTGGGTTTCTTTAGGAGAAAGGAAAACAAAACAAAACACCTGTGATTAAATGTTTGCTCTTCATTTGACAGAAACAAATTAAGGAAGACTGCTAGAAGTGCAGAAACGTGTATTTGCCAGCTATTAGGTTGGAGGAATAAATATAAATTGGATTTACTATATGTGATTGCAGTTGCACTTTAACTCCTGATCACTTCTTCACATGCAGATAAACCACTACATAAACAAACACTGCTATCTAAGTGAATCTCAAGGAAAATGTTTAATTTACTTTTGGCAGTGAATATATCCTGAGCTATATTAGCCCACAGACAGTGTATTACTGGCCAGTTCAATAGCATTTGTTGTTTATCCCCCAGCTGTGAGCTGGCCTCTATAAATTACAGGTGAAGATCATCGTTGATGAGGCAATTTCCCAATTCTTTGGAAAAAGGCCCCAGACTTCCCCGAAGCCCGTAGTTCCCCTCCTGAGACATGCAGCCTTTCCCACGGAGCCCCCTCAGGTGCCGACACCGGTGCATCGCATCAGCCCAGAGCAGCATCCATGAGAAATGGAGCAATGAAGGTGGGTTCTTATTCCCTCTAACGAAGGCTGTCAGATGAAGTTGCTCATTACTCGATGAAAGACTGCACTCTGTTCCCGGTCCCACACCCCTGCAATCGGAGCCGTGGAGTAAGTTTATTTGGGAGGCAGTACACCTCCTGAAGGTGAAATATTTCTTCAGGAAAAGCAGCATCAAACCAACCATAGGCTTAAGTAAGAGCTTCAAAATCAAATACTTCTTTCTGTGATTTTCAGTATCTACCAGTAGCATAAAAGTCAGGTCTTAAGTGGTTTCATGTATTGATCTTCTGTCAATGTCCTTCATCAGAGTTTTATCTGGTAATAAAGAAGCTGTATGAAAGAGCTGTTAACAATTTATGCAACCTGGGTTTTTTGTTCCCTCACACCCATGTAAAAGAGAAGCAATTGTTGAAATCAGTTGAGCTAAATGCTTGTAATGGCAGCGTGAGAGAGGAGTGAGCCTGTAATTCTTGAGCTAATTAAGAGTATTCAAAGCCACTTTTAAAGTGCTTCCTCTCCTATGTCAAATCTCAGGAATCAATGATTACTTTCTAAAACATAATTTGCTCGAAATTACGGAAGGCTGTGGAAGGCTGATGCTGCTTCTAGGTAAGTTATTGGACAACCCCTGGCTGAGGGAACTCTTCAGCAGAGGTAGAAGCAGCCTGATAACAGCAGACAATTATGTAATTCATAGGTACATGCAAGCAAACGCAGCACCTTTGGCCACGCTAACGTTATCAGTGAGCTATTGAACGCAGCAATGAAGAATTAGTGCTTACAGAATATTCCACTCCAGGGCTGCCTGCTCTGATATTTTATTATTGTTTTGTTTACCATTTGTTAGCTTAATAGAGAATTTCAGTGCTACACCCAGCAACCGCATTTTCCAAGTGTGCAGTCAAGGAAAATTCTTATGTTTCTAGCAAACAAGAAACCTTTTTGAAGGGCACATTTGCTCTAGCATTAAGCAAACAAACACCAAAGCACGTAAACACACAGCAAAGCACAGTTATTTTGTGACTTTTTAACTTAATATATATTTTGAACACAAAGATACTTTGTGTGTAGCTTTACATGTACTTAGTTCACTCATGCAATGAGATTTATAGCAAAGGTCCAAGTTTTTTAATGAACACTGCATGTAATAAATTAATATGTGATTCAATTAGCGACAAGAAATAAAGCTGCAGTTACTTATAGAAATACCAACAGATAATTTTTGGAGGGGATTAGGCACAGATTATTAACTTTTCTAAATGTGCATTTCGTATCCCTAAGTCTGACATTCACATAAACATGGCAGTCCGCAGTAGTGCTTTGCAGGAAAATTAGATGCCTATGGCATTAATCACCTGAAAAGATTTTCCACATATCAGTATCCAGGATTATATGACACCAGATAGCCTCTGATGTGGTCTGACCGGGAGAGGTATGCACAGTAATTTACATGGAAGATGAGAGACTGTATGGTGTGTTTTCATTAGTTTACCACTACAGAGGGTGAGAAACAGTGCATGATTCAAAAAAATGGTCTCCAGACAGGGAATTAAAAGGCAAATTTGACATAATCAAATGCATCTGGAAAAGCAGTTAAAATATGCAGTGAAATACCAATCATTTAAAATTCAATTATTCAATTGAATAATAATAACCTTTTACTCAAGCTAATAAACCTTTGTAAGCATACGGAACACATAAAAGTCTCTGCCTTTTTAAACAGAATAATAAAATTCATTGAATAAATGGTACTTTAATGTATAATTCAGATTGTACCATTAAGAAGATAATTTCTGCTGAACTGATTTAGTCTTCCTTTCATTCCTCAGTCAAGAACCTTATAAATAGCTTTCTCAGAGATACAGAAAAGGATCTCGCATGACTAAAAGTAGTGTTCTGAATCCTTCCTGTAAAAAGAAAAGGCTGTGTATAACTGTTAATGTATAGAAATACGCATGAGAGGCAGGTAAAGGCATATGCACTTGCATCTGAGAGGGATCGAGATGAGAAAGAAAGGAAGAGGTGCAGGAGGGAGACAGAAAGCCTGATGTCACATGCTGGCCCTAGTTTCCAGCAGGGTATTAGCAAAGAACTGGTGGATCTCAGCATTGTCATCTGATATTAGCTGTACAGACAACAGGGAAAAAAGGAGCTGAAAAGCTGCAGGGGCTGCAGTCATATCTCATGATATGTGACGACAGTACCACTTCTGTGTATATATTAAATGATACGATTTTGACTTACAATCTTTCAGAGAACTATATGCAGAATGTCACACTTGTTTCTAGTACGCGCTGAAGTTTTCTCATCCTAAGACTCACAGCAGCATAACTTTTGATACATTACTTTTGTTGTTATTGGTGGTGGTGTTCTTCGAAGCAATGGAAAAAGTGGGATCCACTCGTGGAAAAGGATACTGTCTTGGCAGGGTGACTTTTCTATGACTATTGCTCAGAGAAGCGCTCAAAGAGCTTAGAAAAAATCTTGATGTGGATGAAACAAAGGGCAAAGCACAAGAAGAAAGTAGAAAGAACATAGTCAGGGGTCAAATGGTTGGAATAAATGTAATAGACAACAGGTCTACACAATTTGTACCACCAGCTATCATCAAACACACTGATGGTACATTTGGTGAAGTGAACAGATTCCATCCGTTTTCATTTTAAATTGAAAAGAAAGATGCCTTCTGTGAAAACTTTAGTCTAGTCAGCAAGCAAAGCCTTGGAAAACTGGAAGGTTTCAGGCTCTTGGCCTACCCAAAGTTAGTGAATTCAACCTTTGACTGAAGGGAAAACAATTTTATCTGAAGTGTTGCTGTGACACCTCACTGGAAGTTAAGTCTGAAAGGTGTTGTACCTACTGCACTGGGGCTACTGGCCAAACCTGCCATGTGGGCAAACTTCTTCACACCACTTGTGACTTCCCGAAATCTGTTGCAATGTCCCAGCAGCCCCGCAGGGAGCCATGGGCATGCAATCTGGCCAAGAACATCTGCCCGTTACTTGAGCGAAGCAGCAAGAACCTACAAAGATCAATTTCAAAGGTGTGCTGGGGTTGCATTTCAAAAGAGAATTTTTCAGATTCCAGTTGAAAGCTCTTGAAATTCAGATTAAAGATTTTATGATTATTATTTTAATTGAAAAACATGTCAACTTTTTTTTCCCCAACTTGTCAGTATTTTCTCCTTACTTTTCTTCATTTTCATCAAAATTCCTCTTTTTTTGCCAAACTCAACAGCAGTTTCTAGGCATTTTTCTATAAGAATATGCATTCTGCACTTTAAACTTTTTAGGATATAAATTAATTCATTTCCTATTACTACGCTGTAGCTTCAGGAAGTTATATCTTTCAGTTAATGCTTTTAAGAACTTTACAGTCATCATTTAAGTGAAGGAGGATTCATCTAAAAAGTATTGCATTGATCCTGAAGCGATCTGAACATATTCTTTACTTTGCTAGTAAAGTACTTTACAATTTCCTCAAGTAGAAAAATCATTGATACTTCAGCTTATTTCCTTAACCAAAGAAAAAAAGAAGCCTCAAAGTTCTTCACCACGTAAGAGAGAGATAAAGGTAAATAAAGAGAGATAAAGCAAGAAAGCAAAGAAAATGAACTACTCATCTGACCAGTAGGGTTTCACCAAATTCCAAGGGTAAATTTGCTGCACAGCCTTTAGATGGCAATTCTTCTGTGAGTCAAGGAGCGTTTCAGACTGCCTTGCACAGTTCTATTAAATATAATTATTGTGTATCAAAATAATTATAAAATAATAACAATGCATAATAATTTCTAAAATATTAAGAAAATACATGTGTTATTATGTCACACATGCTTCTGCAGTCCACACACGTGGGAGCTGAAATCCTGAAACAGTTACAACCAAAGGAAAACATCCGCTGACTGTAGAAGGGCCTGTGTTTATATGAGCATATGTATATTTGCCACATTATATATGGCAAAAACAAGGTTTAAAAAGTCAGTAGATATTGAAGTGGGTATGAGGCTTTAGATATATTGGGACGGAGGTACACTTTAATACTCACAGGTGGACTAAATCTGAAAATCCTTTTATAAAATTGCATAATCCTTCCTCTGTACAAGTAAGAGGCAGAATAATAATTATAAAAGTTTAAAAAAGAGACACTGAAACAGCCCTCCCTAGAAATGTATTAGATTATCTGAATACCCTGAATATCCCAAGAGGAAATCAAAT